TCCCACCACAAGATTCCAATAATAACAGTTCTATAAGAACCAAGTGATAACACATAATGAAGATGAGCAACTACAAACCACGAATCGTTTAGACTAATATCCAAACTTGAAACAGATAACACCATTCCAGTTATTCCCCCCAGTGTAAACAACACAATAAGTGAAATAATTCATCAAACTACAGGATCCCTTAAACCAACAGATCCTGTGGTTGGCATAGATATTCACAAAATTACCTTTACACCAGTTGGTATACCAATTAAAGCAGTAACCGCACTAAAAAACGATATTCTCTTTACGTCCATAACAACCGTAAACATGTTATGGGCTCAAATAATAAACCCCAACACAACAATTGAAAACATCGCTAATACCATACCCAAATAACCTATTGGTGATTCCCGTTCTGTACATGTGACCAATCATTGAAAAACAAGGTAACATTAAGATATAGACTTCGGAGTGTCCAAAAAAACAAAACATGTAGAAACATTATGGAATCACCGCCACCTAGAGGATCAAAATATGACGTCCAAAATTTACGATCAAAGTAACATTGTTATAGCTCCAGCCAAAACTGGAATAGATAAAAACAACAAAAAAGAAGTGAAATAATAACCCCATATAAATATTGGCGTAAGAAGCACCCAATCTACATACAACGTAGAATCTAAACCAGAATAAGTCGAATAAAAATAACAATTACAAGTTATAATAAATTTCAATGCACCCAGCATCCTAGACAAACCAGCTAAGTGTAATAAAATCAAAATATAATCAACACCTCTACCAGAAAAATGCTTTCTAGTTAGTGGTGGATAAAAAGTTCAACCAACCCTCGAACTCAAATACATACGAATTAATAACCTTATCATTGATGGTAATCATATTCAAAGACTAAATGATTTTATTCGAGGAATCTTTATATCACCCTGACGTGTAAATATTGGTAATAAAATATTACCGAATCCACCAATTAAAACAGGCATCAAGAAAAATAAATCATAACTATACCATGTATAGTTATTGTAAATTTATACAACTCCGTCGAAATAACTTTAAAACGAATTATCACACTTAATCCCAATCCTATAAAACCAGATCATACACCCAAAAATAAATAAACTACCTATCTTCTTATGGTTTAAAGAAAATAAAATAAAAACCCTTTTCATTTTCAAATTTAAAACCCAGAAGTTTATTTATTGTTTTGAAAACAAATAGTTTAAATTAACTTATAAATCTAAATAAACTAGATATTCCCTATATCGAAATATGTCATTAGCAGTAAAAAAACAAGTTCTTATTTTATTTAAGAAACTTTATAAAACCATACTTTATTTCATAAAAAAAACCTAAATATAACAACATCTAAAAAAACAAATAATAAATTGATGACCCTCAGAAACTTCAGACAAGCCCATTTTCAACAAAAGCCTCAATCTAAAATTTCTCACTCTCACACCAAAT